CAGCTTTCTGCAATGTGCGGGACTGCATTGTTATGTCTTGTAATGAGTGTCAGCGATTTTTGTAAAATAATCATTTGTAGCCATTAATCTTGATTGCGTTGTATGTGTTGGTGCGAGTAATGCAGACAAATATTCCTCTTATGATGCGTTATGACACAGACTAATAATAAGAGATCAATTTAAGAAGTACATGTTATGTTGTTATTTTGCTATTAATAATGATTAAAGTTTATACAAAGAAAAAATTATAAAACTTTGTTGTCATTAGACATGTAATAAATATGTATCAAAACAACAATATTGAAGTTGTTAATTACATGTACAGTGAAACTTGTCAGCTGATCTGGACACTATTGGTTCCCAAATAAATTGCCTGGATTAACCATGTTACAGTTAGGCAAAATTCCCAATTATAACAATTTTTTTTTTAAATAAATAAATTTATCAAAAGAGAGGAAAGTTTATATCATTATGCAAGAGTTTGGAATATATAAGATCAGTATTAGGCAAGTTTCAGTATTTATATATTATTAGATTTCATCAGAAACACTACTGTGTATAATATGGAACATTATACATCAAGGAGATGGCTTTGTTTACTCAAGTCTATAAAAGTGCAAGTTGGTGTATTGGTTTCATTAAATCTGTGATGTGCAAATCCATAAAGTTGTTCATTTCTAGAAAATGGACGTATTTACTAAGTTTATTAGACCTTTGCAACAGAGGATGTAGTAAGATGTAGGGAGTGTTAGTTGTTCTTTGTACGCAACTGAAGTATTTTGTATCGTGATCAGTATCGAATGCTGCCTTGGTTTGCAAGGGGCTGCTCCACTTTACGGGGCTCCTATTTAATTTTCATTTGTGGAAGTATGTTTGAAAAGTATGAAAAAAGACCAGAAGTTTCATTATTTTTTTCATTGACTGGCACATGCATTGACTTCAGTCTTTCTTGTCTACTTGTACTGAGGAGATACTGATAGTTAATCCTGTGTGTTTGTCCATTTTCACATCCCACCCACAAGTAACCAATGGTATCTATAGCAATAGCAGTAGGCTGACGTAATCCATCCTCTTCAGTCATCAGAAGTTTCTGGAAAGTCAAGGATTTGTCCAACAGATGTATAGCATTGTCGTTATAGACAGCTACTAATACATTGTTTTGACTATCTAGTGTCAAGTCTGTTGGTCGAAATCTTAATTCCGGGGAGCTTCCAACTGATCCACGATATTTTTTATAATACCTTATCATTGGAGATTGTCTTATTAAATCAATCCTTTCAACCTGAGGATGAGAACCGGATGAAATAAGAAGAAAGAATCCATCATAGTACATTATTCTTATACAGTAAGAGGTGGACGTTTCAATTTTCTTCAGAATCACTCCGTCATCATTCAATAAATTTACATGACTAGCTATAGAATTGATATAACTTGAATGTATAACTACACAAGCGTAAGCTTCTTTCCCTCCAGCAGTCAGACAACAGAAGTAATCTTTTGTTTGGTCAGTATTAATGAACTTTGTAATCACCTTACTTTTTAATGTTGAAATACGTCTTATTTCCTTTTGGTCTTCCATTATCGCAAGAATATCTCCAGAAGCAGGTATATGAGCAATCTGATGAACACATTCCAAAATCGTAGACTTACAAAATTTTTCTCCCTCGATGTTACAACGACAGACCGTGTTGGAGATTTGCAGAACAACGCTGGTACTGTCTATGGGTATGATGCCTTGTATAGATGCTTCGCCAGCTTGATAGGTCCTTGGTAATTCTATACAGTCATGGAATTTTTCCTCTTCTTCTACAAGCTCTTCTTTTTGTTCATTTTCTTCATTTTGACTAAGCGAAATTGCATCTGATGAGGTTTCAACCTCTGAAATGTTTCCGAACACATCAGTTGAATCACCATTTAGAGTTCCCTTTTCAAAGTGGCAAGTAGATCCAACATCTGATAAATATGCTTTATCGCTCAGAAAACGTTTTGTTTTGCAATTCAAGTACGTGATCTCCAATTTCCTCTCCTCGGAATCGAACTGGAAGCCTTCTTTGAGATGCAGTAAAGCATGAATTAAGGACTGTTCTTTCCTCAAAGAATTCTCATAAGTGTCTCTGAACGTCATAACTCTCCCCACCATTTTCTCCCTCCATTGTCTCACCATTTCACAAATTTCCTCCTCTCTGTTAATAACACTGCGAAGGAGATTTTCCGTGTGAACAGCAAGACACTTCTGTTTCTCTTTACTATCAGCAAGGATTTTCCTTAGAAACGGAGTTGTCTTTTCAGTTTTTAAAACTTCCTGTAATTCACTCTGATGAAGTTGTACTACTTCTGAGATCTCACATAGTTGATGTCCAGCGTGTTGACCAAGAGTTACACAATCACTGCATATAGGCTGATCACAGGACCTACAGAAAAGGGGGAGCAGGTCCCTGCAGTGTACATCACATCTCGGTTTTAATAGTTCTCCGCTGACTGGTATTTGCGTGTCGGCCATTTTTCTCCACATAGTGTAGGTTGAACACCCATTTGCACCCTTTTCTTCCCCTTATAAAAATTTTACTTGTTGTGATCAATTATATTTGTTCAGATCTGCACTGCACACACAAATCGATATTTAAACTTCACTCATTTGTATTTATAGCTGACGGTTTGTTGTGTGTCTTCAAAAACTTCACATCTGGAATTTCTTCTGTTGAGTCTTTGGGTAAATTTAAAACCAGGGTGCATTCTTTTGTGAAATGGATTTATAGTTATTCAATTAATGAAAATAAAAACTTTTTTCAAGGAGAGACCCAGACAACAAAGGGGGTTTGATGACACTTTTATTATTGAGTTTTGTTCTGCATCGTCAGGAATTTTTTTTTTTTGAATATGTGATAAGATTCAATTTTGCCCCCTCCCGTAAAATCAACATTTTAGAATGGTATCCAAATATGTATAATTTATTTTTATATTTTATCAGAAGATATTACATAGAAAATATTTCCAATACATGTTTTACTTTTATATGCACACTCTCAGGCTGTAAATGACATTAGAAATGATGCTACTTTTGCAATCCAAGCAAGGTAAGACAAAAAATGAGTTTTTTCTTGACTTTTTTTTCTGTGCACACCACTGAGGACGGACTGTCAAGATACCTTGAGAGGGTTTTGTTTTTGAACATCTCAACTCTATAATTTCTGGAATGTAGTTTTAATATTTTTCATTAATACACAACAAAATTGCTAATTTTCTTAAGTACCCGGTATAAAGAATAAAATCAAAATTTGTAAAAGTACCAGGACGTGTCAATCAAACCTGCCAAGAAATTTGAAGTTTCAATAACTTTCTAAATAAAAAAAAACAAACCATAGAGCGCAGCTTGGAACTTGCAAAAAATTTCTCACAGTAATCGGTCTTGTATACATCTATGGTAAAAATATATTAAAGTTTGTTAAAATTTGCGCTCAACATTTCTGCAAGAAAAACTGCTTAAAAAAAGTTTCGTACAAAATAGGCTAAAATGGCCGGAAAACGTGAACTATATAATGCCATATTTTTAAATTAATGGTGTTTTGATAAAATTGAAAAATACCAATAAAGATAAATTGTACAGGCGTACAAATTAGGGCTATATATGAAGAAAAATGAAGATATTAATTTTAAGGGGTAGTTCAGACTTCTAGACATTTATCATATATACAGGAACTTTTATTGCACTTTGATGACATGGATTTAATGGTATTAAATTGAAGAGCCAAACCTTTTTCTCAATGGGAAATAAATGAAAACAGGGAAAATTTCATGGTTTCTGTAAAGGGACGGGGACACAGTTTAAGCTGAAAATTTTCAAATTCATTTTCCCATTTTTATGCTTACAAATACTTAACTAAGGTCTTTTTAATGATTATCATAAAGAGCAATATATGATTAATTGTCTCAAATGGCCCTTTAAAATGAATATTTAATTTCACCTTTTACTATGGCACGCCAAATTCACAAAAATGAGATAAACATAGTTTCACAATTGATAAACTAGGTTTATCAACTGTAAACTATAGTTTACAAACCGTAAACTATAGTTAACGATTCGTCAAGTATAGTTAACGATTTGTTAAGTTTTCAACTGTAAAACTATATTTAATGGTTGTTAACTATAGTTTACGAATGATAATCTAAGTCTATCTGTCTGTAATAAGCGTTAACAATAGATTTTGTTCATAAACATAGATTCGCGTTTGTAAACTATAGTTTACAATTGTAAACTATAGTTAAGAGTTGTTAATCATAGTTTCACAAATCGTGAAACAATATTTATGGCACACCAAATTCACAAAAATGAGATAAACCTAGTTTCACATTTGATAAACAAGGTTTATCGACTGTAAACTATAGTTTACAAACCGTTAACTATAGTTAACGATTCGTTAAGTATAGTTTTCATCTGTAAAACTATATTTAACGATTGTTAACTATAGTTTACGAATGATAATCTAAGTTTACCTGTCTGTAATAAGCGTTAACAATAGATTTTGTTGATAAACATAGATTCACGTTTGTAAATTATAGTTTACAATCGTAAACTATAGTTAAGAGTTGTTAATCATAGTTTCACAAATCGTGAAACTATATTTATCAGATCGTTAACTATAGTTAACGGTTTGTAAACTATAGTTAACAAATCGTGAAACTGTATTTATCACTTAATCTATGTTTTGCAATCGCAAATGATAGTTTTCGGTGTTAAGTATAGTTTACGGTTGTAAAACATAGATTATCGCGTTAACTATGGTTTACAGATGTAAAATATAGATTAACGTTGTAAACTATAGTTTACAGTCCGTAAACTATAGTTTACAACCGATAAACCTAGTTTATCGATTGTGAAACTATGATTATCTCATTTTTGTGAATTTGGCGTGCCATAAATATTTATCAGATCGTTAACTATAGTTAACGGTTTGTAAACTATAGTTTACAAATCGTGAAACTGTATTTATCAGATAATCTATGTTTTGCAATCGCAAATGATTGTTTTCGGTGTTAAGTATAGTTTACGGTTGTGAAACATAGATTATCGCGTTAACTATGGTTTACAGATGTAAAATATAGATTAACGTTGTTAACTATATTTTACAGTATGTAAACTACAGTTTACAACCGATAAACCTAGTTTATCGACTGTGAAACTATGTTTAGCTCATTTTTGTGAATTTGGCGAGCCATATTTTACTGTGAAAACCCAAATTTTCGTTGGGATTTTCGTTGTTTTAGTGGTATAAAGAGCCCCACGAATTCATTACCATCACGAAATGTAAAATGTTATGTACATGACTACTAAAGAATTCTTCATCCACGAAATCAAATCCCCATGAACAAAGAGTTTTTTTCTCAAACCACGAAAATGTCACCCCACGAAAATATGTGATTTTACAGTAAATAGCTTTAATTTGAACAGCTGTACATGCACTGCTGATTTTCAAGCAGTTATTCTTCCAGAAAATATGGAGCGCAGACTAGAACAAACTATATTTTTACCAAAGAAGCCCCCATATCTAATACTAATTAGTGACGGAAAAATTATGTATGTTCTACACTGCGCTCTATATTTCCCATAAGAAAAAAAACATGAAGAAAAAGGCATATTTTTGGCTTTTTTGGTTAGATTGCAAAAATAGCATTATTTCTCATGTCATTCACAGCCAGTGAGTGCATAAAAATGTGAAAAATATTTGAAAAAATATGTAATATACCCAGTAATCTCTTCTTCAAAATAAATATCGATTAAACATATCTGAATATCATTCTAAAATATTGATTTTTAGAGGGCTCTTATCATAAACATTCCTTTGAATCTAGTTGTCGAGAAACGAGGCAGATTAAGAGCTCTATATCTTTGTAATATAAATAATACTAATAAAGATTCGTTCAAAGTAGATTTTTTCAATAAAGAAGTTAATTCTAAATACAATTAGACAGTTTCTAGAGATTTACCGAATCTTGTTATGTTATAAATATGATATTTTCTATACGTAAACAAAAACAACGCACGAAGAATTTTACGTTCTGTTTCTCCTTTTTAAATAAAAAAAAATAATGTTCAATTTTTTGCAAATCATTTAAATAGCCATGATTAGGAATTGTAAACATTCAAATTGGCTTTCAAAAAATCTTTTTAAAAACTGTGTCCATGTCCCTTTTAAAAATTCTCAAAAATAATGATTTTAAAAAATTATAGAATAAGAAAAACTAAATACATGTAAATATAAGTTTATTCAGACATAACATAGATTTTTATAGGTTCAAATCTTGTCCTGGGGGACAAATTTTGCCACTCCAGGGAGCTCCTCGGGTGGCTCATACCTCTCACAGTCTAACCTCCAATGTTAATGGTGTCCTACCAAATTGCTGATTCAGTCATGTGATCTGTATTTGCATTGTTTTCAAAATATTGTACATTTTTTAAATCAGAGTAACTTTGTGGCACGCCCATTACTATGTTTATGCTAAATACTTTGACAAGAACTTTTAAATGAGTATATATATTAAATATTAAATGAGTTATAAAGCAGTTCCAGCGTATAGCAGAGTAAGCCGTGGATTGTGGAATCTGGTTTGGCAGCTACATGTATAGAGGGAGACCTTTACCATGATGTGGGTATATGTTAGAAAAATTTTCAAATCTTCTCGAAAACAGTTGGGCCATTCTTAGTCGAAACAAGATTAACCATCCTTAATTAGGAATGCAATTTAAATCCAGGCTGCACCAACAACAGGGGATCCCAGTTTTACAATTTGTACATTTAAAAAATCAATGCATTTTAAAGATTTGCAGGATACTGATGTCATATCAATTTGTATTATATCTCAAATTCTTATGTCTAAGTGGGACCACAAAATGGGGTGAAATTTCTCACGGGAATAAAGAGGGGAAACAAATTATGTAAGAGAATAATGTGTTGATATTGACATAACTATACAACAGAAAATTTCATTAAATTTTATAAAATAATGATTTACTAAAAAAAAAAAATCAGCCTGATAAAGATTGGAAAGCAAATAATAACAATATTTGACAAAACACATTTTGCAAATTCCTCTTGTAAGTCTAGAGCATTAACTATTTAAAGAATTTTAAAACATTTTTTCCAGGTGTACATAAATTATACACATGTCTTTGTTCATGCACGACACATTTTCAAGTCTTTTAGCTCTCAAGTTTTTCTTCAGTTTCAGTCAATGCCCTTTTGGTTCGTTCAGTGGCCTTGAAATAATCATAGTCGAGGAGACGGAGGAAACTTCCCTCATCATTCCCTCCAACGCACCACAACCACCCTTCTCCATCAAATGAGAGAGACTTCAAATTGGTTAAGCCATCCTCTGGCCAAACAACAATTCTTAGAAACTGACCACCAATATCTAACATGTGAATAGAATTATCTATTCTGTTCGCAACTAAAATGTTATCGACTGGATCCAGGCATGCAGATGCCACTGAAAATGTCGAACTTA